TCTGCGGTTGAATCCACACGTGTGCAAGTTTTTACAAACGAATGTGATATTTGTTGTAACTGCGGCCAAAGCTGCGTTATCGCCGTCTAACTATGCCTGGTGTGAGCCCCCAAGGAAGAATACGATAAGAAGTGCACAGAAAACAGAACTTTTCGGGATAACCTTGTACAGCAAAATTTAGAGCAAGCAAACGCGTATGCACAAGGTTGGGCCAATTATATGGTGGTCACAAGACAGGCCCGACTTCGTTGGCTGGGTGAGTCATGCAGTTGGCGTGTTAGTCTTTCGCTATGCTGGCAGCTGGGCGCGGCGTCAGACTATGCGCCTGTGTAGTTGGACCCGCGGTCTCGCGTGTGAACGCCTTTTTAGGGTGGCGTGCACATTGAGTTAAGTTGGACTTTAGCAATATTCCTTGGACATTAACATAGTGCATACAGGATTTAGGCATCATCCGATAAAGTGGCGGGGCTAAAAACTTGGCCCATGCAACAAACACCAACTGAAGTGCAGAGTTTCATCGGACTAGTACTATAATACCGCAAATATATACTGTACTTTTCCGAGATCTCACAGCCTCTCCACACACTCAATGAAACATGACGAAAATTCAAATGGGCCGAAGACTGCCAACAAGCATTCGATAAATTAAAATCCAGCTCGACAACAACCCCTATACTATGATTACCTGATGCACAACAAGGCGCCTTAACCTTCGTACTATATACGGATACGCGCGGCTTTGCGATTGGGGCGGTCCTTTCCCAATGCGACATTATAGGGGAAGGACAACCGATCTGTTCTCCCCGTAAAATCCTAGCTAAGCATCAGAGCAACTACTGCACATACAGACGTACAATTTTTGCTCTGTTAAAATATCAAGTAGTTCAAAGCGTTCTAGCTATGAACAGATTCTAAAGCTCTGCGATGGCTAAAATCAATGAAAGACACGGAAGGACAACTAGCCCGATGGCAAGAATCCTTACAAGAATTTAATTTTAAGTGCCAACACCGGGCTAGCACAGAACACACCAAGGCTGGCGAAATTTCAAGACAACTCTCAGAGCAACTTACTGACAACGTAAGAAATAAATATTGTCTGTCGTATTAGTTTCCCGCAGACAATCGTTTGGAACTATGCGATTGTTAACTAAGGATAATATTTCTTGCATATATATAGTTAAAGCGTTACAGTCAAGGAATACCCTTGAGAACCCTATTAATGTAAAGTAAACCATCTCATTGTTACAGTCAATAGGAAGTTGCAGCAAGGTGTGGTAGCATGACACACATTCGAATGAGTTGTCTCGGAACAGTTCGAAACAGTATGAAAACAGTCTAGAGCCAGGATAATGGTTTACAATGCTGGCAATAAGAAATAATGTTGTGATAGTCGCCTCTTGTCAAATAAAATGACATCAAGTCTTCTTTCAAAATAAGCGATGCTGTCAGCGGAAACCGTCTCGCTTGGTAGCTAGTTCCAAGATTGTAGCACTCGTTGGCTGAAGAAAAACTTTCTGAGGTCCAATAGAGTGCATCCGTTTGTGACCTTGTAAGGATGGCCATACAGGTGAGTTTTGTTTGCTTACTCGAAGAAGTCCTCAAATTTCAGGGAGGAACCGGGGCCCCAGATCATCCGGAAT